CTTGTGGATTCTTGCATGTTTTCTAGCCTCTTATAATATCAAGCAGTGCTGTCTTAGATGCTTTCTGTTGTAGACTTTGCATTTTATCACAGGATAAAAATACATAAATGCAAAGAGTTAGAGAATAACCAGAAGTTAATTTTTTTCTGAAAACAAATGATAGGCAATACTGAAAAGGGATGACCAAACGTATATGTAAAATACACTTAAAGAGTCGATCTTAGACAAGACACTTGACACAAAAATTGACACAAGTTTCCTTTTAAGCCAGTTGTTTTTATTGTTAATCTGTTAATTGATTCAATGCATTAATTAATTAATTAATTGGTTCAATGTTAGGTTATGCATTTCAAATGGGGATTTGACCATTTTATGTTTTTATAGACATGCATGATCAATGCAAATGGCAGTATATAATAAATAATATTTCCTATAAATATTCTGCATCTACACAGCATGCCTTTGGCTTTCCATTTTCCCTATATTACTTTTTAGTCATAATATCCTGTGAATAACAAAATAATATTTATGGATATTATTTGCATTTAGTTCATAATCAAGATGATCTACTTTGATATATATAGTATCTTGAGCAACCTGAGATAATACAGTTTAAAAATGGGATGTAGTTTGAGTGCTTTTTAAGCTTGGACTTCTGATCTAATTGGTGTACACAGTCAACTGAGGCCTTCTGCTCAATATTCTGTACAGATTATCCATTAGTTTATGCAGGTTTGGCTTCACCTTTGACGTAGTATCAGTATTAGTTTAAGTACATTGCTAGGGTGTAATCTGGTTTGTTGTTCAATTTTAAAACCAGATGGCACATATTTTTGTTATATTGTAAGGAGAGTAGGCTACCACATGAATATTAAAGACATGCTTATTATCCCAAAAATTTAGAAAAATGAGAACCCACTCCATTTGTTAGAGATAAAAAATATTGCAATATGTCTCTAGCTATTAAAGATCCCTTCTAATTTAGAAAATGACCTATCTACATAGCTGAAATTATTATATCAGTTCTGCTTGAGTATTGTGCAATGTATAAACATATTTATTTACTTAATTATTTCTCTTTTTTATGATTAGTTCTTACTGCGGCATTTTAAGCATGTGGACTGCATGTGCATTAGGATAATTACATATCCTTTGTATCCGTGTTAAATGGAGACAATTCTCTGTAGACCTCACTTAACTTTCACCTTAGATTAGGGTTATTTCTTGGGACAGATTTCCCTGGGTATTTCTTCTTCACACATTTAAATGACTGTATAATAGGATAAAAAGTTGTACTAGCTACATTCTGCATTAATAATCTATCTTGGTAAGACTGAAACCAGACCCCCCTCCCCTCCCCAGAAATTGTACAGTCTATGCATACAAAAATCCATATTGAGTTTATTTGCTTTTCCATGACAACATTATTTCACTCGGCACACATTTAGAAACATAAAAGGAACATCAAGCAAAAGCTTTAGAGTGTGGAATCACAAGTGTGGAAACTCTTTAATGGATAGTGCATGATGACATCATGTTTTCTGCAGTGTAGATAGCCTTTCATGTTCTTTTAAGTGAAAAAAAACTCTTCTTCTTTCTTCTTTTCTTTAGCTAGGTACAGAAATGGGTACTGTGTTTTTGTTGAATCAAGATAACATGTTAGACACACAGATACTGGTTCCCTTAAATCATTGAACCACGATCTTTTTTCTACTGTACATCTTTGGTAAGGTAGGAAGGGCATCTAATTTAGTTTTGCAAGTTTGTAATCAATTTCCTGTATGAAAAAGAGACATATTGAGTAATATATTGATATCATGCAACCTAGCAAAGTTTTTTCCCCAATTAGTGATATTAACTGACAACTTAATGTTGTTGAATAAAAAGGGACAGGGCACTTTTTCTGTTCTATTGTTCTATATTTTTCTTGTTTATTTTACGTAGAACATGCCCTTAAATTAGAAGCTTATACTTGACTGTAAGTTCTTAAGATATCAGCTTGACTGTTAAAAATAACAGTGCATTTTTGCTAAAGGATGTAATGGATTTTATGGTAAACATCTCAAGAATTATTGACATGCACAACATCTTAGTATTGGCATGACTATTGTGCAGTGGCATTATATGTAAATGAAAAATGGGTTTTGAATGTAAACATTAAGTTCAGAATAACACTACTGTTCTGCTTGAGTTAAAAAGAAGTAAACATGACAAAATTGCATTTAAAACCATTAAGCTGTCATGTTGTTTTGTAAATTAATTTAATCGTCACCCAGTGTTCTATTTATATCTCCAACACATTCATTTCACGATTTACTTTTTTTTTTTTTTTTGTAAAACCACAATGTTGAAAATGTAGCCACCATTGTTTCTTCCCACATCTTGAAGTAAATGCATAAGTATGAAACATGTTTTAACATAAAAAAAGGAAAGTGGGCTAAAAATAGAATTTTTAAATACTTGTTAGATTATTCACAGCGAGTTTGTTTCAGATATGTTGAAGCCTTCCATTTTAAGAAAATTATTATCAAAGGTTAGATGCATTTACATGCTACTTGATATGATAGTAAATTTATTTAGTACCCATTATACTAAATAATTTTGAGTGACTTATTTGTAAAAGATCATATTCTGTAACCTCAAGCAAAATAAATGTCATTACACATCCACTGAAAGCATTTCTTTTCCTGAATGATAGTAAAGAATGGGAGGGATCAAAATAACCATTTTCATTTCAGCCAGCTAGCTGAATATTTTCAATCAAATTATAAATGGGAATGGCAAATTGCCAAAAGTCACAAAATCATTATTTATTTATTTCTTATTGTTAGCTAGACTTTTTGTTCTTCATAATGGAATAGTGTGTGTGTGTGTGTGTGTGTGTGCGTGTGTGTGTATAGTAGCCAAGATTTCATTCTGTGTCCTGAGTTGAGGACACAGAGCTATGTATTGAGCTGATCAAAGATGTCCTTTCTCTGTTACATGTAGCTTTCAATGGTTCTTGAGATCTTTAATGCTGTCAACTTTAGGCATTAAGCTCCATACTTTTTTAGTGAGCCCATTGCTGCCTGCTTTTATTTCCTTTGTTTTCTACAATTTCATTTATCAAATAACTTAATTGGAATTTTATTTGAACAACCAAACTGATATTCTATATGAATAAGCTGTTTTTTACTTGGTGTCAATTTTTTCAATTTCGGATACTTAAAAAGTCTTTTCACACACCAAGATTCAAAGCACTTGATGTTATTTTCCTCTAGTTGCTCTTTGCTTTCCATTAGTGAACTTGCAGTAGAGTTATTGGAAAACCGCTGTCAGTACTCTGGTTGTTTTCTATTAAACCATTTATCTTGAAATTAATTTTGCTTTGGTGTTCATTCATTTCACCTTCCATGTTAAAAGGGATTGCTATTCACTGCTACTGACCACATTTATATTGATTTGTGCTTTAATTGAAGTTTAATTTTAGTGTCACTTGCTGACTTCTGTTGCAATGAATTTCTATCTGTTTTATAATGTTACAGAATAGACAAAACAATATTTTTGGCATAATTTGATAATCTCACATCCCTAAAGTATTTAATCAACTGCTATAGTTTTGACAGCCTTAGATAAACACTTTTACATGTTAACTGATCATGTGTGTTTATTAGGGGTGTATACATTAGATTATGAAAGGTTGTTGTGTATGTTTTGTTATACATCTTAGAAAATGGGCAAAATTTATATAGAGACTCTTATATATGTATCTTGTATATACCTTTTTTTTTTGCAACCACTTATTCCCAGTATGTTTTACTTATAAAGGAATTTATCATACAAAAAATATTGTAATAACCCAAGTGATGGAAGGTGCATTTTTTTCTTGTCCAGTTCAGCACACTTTGAATTGTTATTGCTTTCTTTTATCCCTTGTCAATAACCAATGTTTGTTAAGCCACAAAGAAGTTGTTTTCTCAAAGTTATCAGTTCAGATTTTTGGACATGATGTCACATTTGTTGTATTTGGAGGCATAGAATTAGACATTGGTAGGTATTGAATCAGGCCTGTTTATACAGGGGCACAGGTGCATCACCCAGGGGGCAAATGGCCTAACTTGTTTAGCACTGCATTAACCTGTTTGTCAGGTAAAGAAAGGGCCCAGTGTGGAAAGGAAGCAGAAAGCCCAAAATCCTGCTTGGTTTTCAATAGCACATCCTACTGTTTTCTAGAGATAGGAATTCCTTCTCAGCTTGGGAGCAATCCTCCTAGGTCCTGAGGAGTCTAAGCAAATAGCTAGAATATTACTTTTTGGATGTTGTACAATGGAAAGGAAAGGAGAGGGGAAACTTAATTGGCTCTGGAACTATGGTGTTTTAACAATGCAAGCTTAGAGACTGGCATAGCCGTTGGCTGATGCTTTGTAGTCTAGAAGTTAACTGTGGCGGTAATCCAGCCTATCCCAATCAATTAAGAGAAAATAAAGGCCCCCTTGAGTAATATAGTGAACAATATCATTACAGTAAATTAGAAGGTGAAACTAGTACAGACCTTATTGGCGGTTCCTTATATGCATGAATATATATCATTTTGTATGTTTTTAAATGGGAATATGATAGATCACTCATGTCACATAAAAACATTCATTTCTAAATATGTTTTGGAATGCATTGCTTTCAGTTCATAGAATATTTTTGTGATTGTACTTTCCTCTGTTATCAGCCTCTGTCTGTACCATCATTATTATTGCCATCAGTGCTCTTTTAATATGCACCCCCCTCCTCCTGGTAATCTCGGCCAATAAAATAATTAAACATCAGGCATAGGGAATGGAGCTTGTAGAGAACTTATGAAAGAGAATAAAGTTCCCAGTTGCATAGTTGCATGGTATCACCTCATAAAGCATACCATTACAACTGTATTTCACAAAGGCCTTTTTCGCATTAATCACTTTACTTAAGCAATACATTCTGTGCTGGTACACTTTGAGAGGTTGTAGCATGTAATTAAGGTTTCTGGGGGTTTTGGTCCCTTTCACAAATTTTGCACAAATGTGCTTCATGCAATTTAGTTAATTAATTGACCTTGTCAAGCATTGAAGCTCCATTTAGGTGGCTCTCTTATGAAATAGTATAGGTTATTTCAAAAGTTGCCATTCTTTCAAAGTATACTGGCACTGAATGTATCACTAAAATATACCCCTCGATGCAAAAGGAGTCCAAAAAAATAAAACTCAATGTGAAAAGTTTGATTCAATACTTAGGCGTTGAAAGTTTTAGTGTACACTAACCTAGAAATAATCAGTAGTAGCCCACATAAAAAAGCTGAATTCACTGAAATTTGCTTGTGTATACACTACTTATTTGACTACTACAACTTATAGTACCGGAAACTAAACTGATAATGCATTTACAGTGCAGTTGTGATAACTTCACTTACAGTAGTAACATACCACCTAAGTGATGACTGAGTGATTATCATTTCTTATCATCCCCTTAACTGAACAGAGCGTGCAAGTTAACTTGATTACCATGGCAATACATAGAATAACAGAGTGATTAGACTAACTTTCTGTGATTGGACATCGTAATCAAATAATCTGCCTAGTTATTCTGTTATTTAGCCTTTACAAATAGATTCCAACTGCACCTGATCTTTATTCCATTCTGTCATTGATCAACCATTTGATAAATTATTTTGTGAAAAGGGTCATAAAAGATTTTTCCACTTGTTAGTGGGAAGCAGAAAAGACTGCATTTTAGACCTGGGAAATGAACCATACACCAACAAGCAAAACTACAAGAATCTGATTCCTGTTGAACATAATTGCTGTTGTTGTGATGATTGTGATATGCGGAGATCTAAAGACTATGGTGTGAAAACTGCCATTGTGGTATGTGACCTCTGATTGTGTTTAATAAGTTATGGCTTGTGATGAGGGTCTGAACGAGAAGTTAACACACACATATTTATATTCAAAATGGTAATACATACTTGATATGTTATACAGCTCATTTTAGGAAGCACTCATTTGTTTTTGCTGCTGGGAATTTCATCCCAGCTTACAATCTCTATACATTATAAATGAAACTAGGAACACAAAGTGTATTGCTGTTGTTGTGACATTTGTTAGGTATGAATCTTCTGTGGGGTGCTATATCTGTAAAGACAAATTAATTTTTAAGAAAGGTTTCTCTTATTTCATAAAAATCTAACCAATTGTTGTTAATATTAGATATTTTATAAGACGTGATTATGTAAACATATTATTTATACACAACAACACATGTAACATGTACTGAGACTTGCTGGGCTTTTCTTTATAAGCAAATACACTATCACTTTACTTAAGAGATTGATGCGAACAAACCTTAAATATGTTCACCTTTAACATAAAGTCTGACCACTTTTTTAAGTGAAGGATTGGAACGTATGCCACATGTGTAAGTTCCATGATCAGTCTCTTTGACTGCATCAATGCGTAAATTCCAATCTCTTATAGAAGGCCTCAGAATACTGAAGCGCTTGTTGGCTGAAAATACTACATCATTCATGGTTAACAAGTTCTCATCTGGCCCTACCCAATACACCTGGAAAACACAAGGAAATATATTTTGTACAGATATTATAAAGCAGAACTCTAATTTGGTTATGTTTGGGTAAAAAAAAACAATATTTAAAATGCATTTTAGCACAAACGCTGCTAGTATATCTTTCAACATATTGTGGAACAGGAAGCTGTTTGGAAAATTTCATCTTGGCATAATGCATGATTTATCATTTGCAAAAGGTAATGTTTGTTTTGATTTTATACTGGTGGTACTTCATGAATTAAATTGGACAAAAATTGTATTGTAACTAGTTGTTATAGTAACAAGTAATTAACATTATAAATAAAAAAAAAACATTGATATTAAATATTCAATAAGACCAGTTATCAATGTATTAACAATCTTTATCTGTGAAAAGGCGCAAATGACTGCTGAGATACACTGCATATATAAATTAGTATTCACTCAAATAGATATGAAACAATGAACATACATTTGGCTCTCCCAGGTAATAGACAGAGCATGGCAGCACAGTATCTTGGTTGACTAGCACTGTCATATTGATCTCTGGTGCACCAAGTACAGCTGTAAATAGATATAGAGATACATATGTATGTTCAAATTTGTTTTTTTCAAAATACATCTGGTAAATTCAATGCATGACATGTAACATGAAATCTATTTATCTCGGAAATATGCCATACATACCTGGGCTCTCATTTTTTGGGTTTATTGGTTCAATTTTTCTTGTATCTGCATTTTCTGAATGTAAGACAAAAACATCAGTGGGCATTCTTGTATTCTTTTGATAATCAAAATTATATTCCATAAGATATTTCATTGCAGTTTTCTTTTAGGTCGTTCATGGTTCCAAAGTCTTGAATTTAGTAATATTTTGGTGATGAAAACCACATACTTTGCAGTTCTCATCACCAAAAATAAAATTGTGATTTATGGAACAATAGCTTTTGTGGATTGTATTTTTGCCACAGGATGTTTTAAGATAAAAAATAATTATCCTTTCATGTCTTATCTAGACTTGAGAAAGTACTTTTGAATACTAAGCTTATACTACTTACCATATACTGTCAAAGACCCTTTCACTGACCCAAAATGGTTTTTGGCAATACAGGTATATTCTCCAAAATCTTCTTCTGTGAGGTCATGTATTCTCAAACTGAGGCCTATTGCATCACGACCTTCATTGTAAATAACCACACTGTACTTAGAGGAGGTTTGGGTCTCCTTCCCCTTATACATCCAGTAGATTATGGATAATGGCTTTGCAGTAACAAGGCACTCAAGAATAGTGTCTTTGCCAACAGATTGGCCAATTCTAAGGTTAGGCAAGCGTATACGTGGGGGAACTGAAAAAAGTTTCAAAGTTGGATATTTTTGTGACAGGTATTTCAGTGCAAAATTGCCATTTCATAAGGTACATTGTAACATTGTGTGTTATGTGATGTTTTTAGAGAAATAGTTTACTGCACTATTGATATAATCAAATTTATTATATGTAACTAATTAATTCCATGCTGATACAAATGGTATTGTTTTTTGTGTATTTGAATGGATAGATAGGTAAATTGGTCTTTGCAGATCAACATGGTACCAATAAAGAACAATCACTTGCTGTTGAAAAGATTTGACAACTTACATCCATATTCCACCTCAACACTCATCAGTCTTGAGGCTGATGTTCCTACTCCATTATGGGCCTGGCACTCATAGATACCATCAGAATGCCTGGAGATATTGTGGATGATCATGACTTCACTGTCTATCTCAATGGCCTCTAAATGTCCAAAGCACAAATTCTTAATAAAGCCTTGATTTGTCAATGTTTTCTTGCATGGTAGTGATGAATTGCTGCCTTTTGAACTCAGATGACATCAGATGATGGATGTACAGTTTTTAAAGAAGTTTATTTGTTTTTAGTGAGGGCATCTTTAAACTATGCTGGTTCAATTTAAACTTATACAATTTTCTATTGCACAGTTTATTTTTTAAACTTAAAGTTGGCTTCTATCTAAAAAGTAGAAAAACCAAAGTGGGACTTTTTTCCATCATGGCTCCTACATAATACAAAGCTAAGCAAATTAAACGTTTTTGTCCTTATGTCCACCCACTTAAAATCATGAAAATGAACAGTTTTATCTGCATATTGGTACTCACTGGAAGTATTGAAGTAACAATATTTCTCCCCACCCCTTTGACCAAGGGGTTCAAGGGATTAAGCAACATTGAGAGTGAATTTTAGGGACCATGCCCACAGATATTGGATCGATCTATCTCCCTGAGGAGTCTTACTAAATTGCCATCGACTTAACCAGCTTGAATGTCTGTCACGCCTAGTAAAGCTGTTAGGGGGTAATTATCTTTACCCCTTAGCTGATTTGGTAGGCATAACAGACATTTAAGCTGGTTAAGTTGATAGCAATTTAGTGAGACTCCCCAGGGAGATAGACTGATCCAGATGGATTGATCTAGGCATGGGAACCCAGTCTAAGTCACAAGTAAGATAGAAGCTATTCACCAGGATCACCATATTTCCCGATAAAGATGCCCTGAGAGACATGGAAATATTCGAGTTCATATTAGCTGTCAGTATAAGCTGTTGAGTGAAAAAAATCACTGTATTATTGGTTTTTTCTTTGATTTGAAAACAAACCTGTAAAATAGCTTACTCTTTTTTGCATCGGCAGATTCTGTGACCTCTCTTCTATACCATTTGACCTTTGGTGTTGGCTGACCTGTGACATTGCAGGTCAGTATGACTGTGTCACCTTCTTTCACCTTTTGGAGTATGGGACTTGACCTGTTTGACACTATTTTTGCAGGAACTAGATTAATGGAAGACCAGAGATTAGACCAAGATTAGCACCAGGTTGTGCCATTGTGAATCCAAATGTATTAATTGTAACAAAACAAACTTGACTAGGGGTAGTGCTGGCATGCTTGTATATCACCAAACCACCTAAGAAAGATGCATTACATTTTTCCTAAAAATTAAATTATTCATTTAAAAACTACTGCAATATTATTTGATCTGCTATGTAAATTAAAATTTGTATTTCACCTAAATAGGCCCTATACACTTTATTTAAAAATTAATTAATTGAAAGCCTACCCTTTATATGAAGACTAACCACTTTCATTAGCACAGGGTTGGGGCCTATAGAGCACTTGTAACTTCCCTGGTCAGACAATTTGACTTCATCAATGTATAAACTCCAGTCTGTATAAGTAAGCCTTGGTATGCTGAACCGATTGCTGTCTATAACTCTTCTTTCATTATAGGTTAAAATAAATCCCTCTGGATCTTGCCAGAGCACCTTGAAAAGATAGCTAAATAGATAACAAAAGCATCACATTGACTTAATTACAAAAAAGACAACAATATGAAAAAAGTTTACTTGGTTGTCAGATTATGATATGAAAGAAACAGTTTGTATTTGATTGTTATTTTAAGAGTTAAAACTCTGTTCAATTGAAGATTGCTTATCAAAGATAATTTTTACATGATTATTTTTCATTTCCCTCATTGTTTATGTGTATTTTTATGTTTTTAAACTTTTTGATGAAACCATCTCTTTATTAGTATTTAGGACTGTTCCCATAACCCTATTGCACTAGATTGATCCAACTTGGCAGGGATTCTCGCTAAATTGTAATCAGTGTAAGTGGCTTAAATGTCTGGCACACCTACTTGAGCTGCTAGGGGGTAATAAACAATAGTCAGTTACCCCCTAGTTACTTAAGGGAGGCATGCCAGATAATAAAGCTGATTACACTGACACTTTAGTGAGAAGCCCTGCAGATGGGTTTATGGGAACGCACTCTTTGATTCTTCTAGTGAAAGTGCAGGTGCATCATTTTTAAGATGCATGTCATTGAATTTAAACATCTGCATTTATTAATTTTTATTATTATTATTATTTTTTATTGCTTTCAATTTCACAGATGAAATATATATTTCTTAATTATACCATTTGGAGTGCGTATCACAACATGTTGCGTTATGTCTGAGAACTCAAGTACATGTGCATATGTGTTCCTGCATGGCATATAGACTAAAGCAAAATGCATAAGCTGCAACTCTGTAGGGAGTGGGAACCAATAGTTTACAAGAAATAAGAAGCCCTTTACTTACATTGAGCCCTCTATCTAGATCCACTGAACATGGGAGCATGGCATCTTTGTTTTCTATCACCGTCACATTGACATGTGTTGTGTTAAAACTTGGTAACTCATACATTCTTCCCTGAACTGTAAAGAGAATAACATGTGTCATATATACCTTTTTACAAACTACTGTATTAAAATCCATCTTACATGTCTGCTTCTAGCTCCTAGTGTGACTGGATATTGTTTTCTTCTTGGATTGATATCCTACATATATACCTCCATGTAAGGATCCCATTTCTCCACCAAGTATGAGACAAGAACAAATGAACACAATGATATTTGCCATGTTGTGTGACTGTTTCAATGAACAGGCCTGATATGTAATACCAATCTGAATGTTATTATTTTTGAATGTTCAAATATGTTATCATATATTAAAGCCAGTAGCTTTCGTTCATTATTTACCAAGTTTAATACACATTTCAGGAAATCAATTTATTATTTTGATGATGTGCAATAGAAAAATGATGGAGAGGAAATTGTTTTTGTGATAATTGTAGTTTTCATTCCTCACCCAGGTGCATTGCTGTGTAGGCCCACCACATATGTGCAGTTGCCCCCCAAAAACTGAAGTAGATGATCTAAAAGTTACATGCCATTCCATATGGATGTTTTTAAGGATGAACAAGTAACCTATTTTATGGTAGATTAATTCATATTAACCTGTTGTAGGAGAATAAAGGTCAATGCACCAAGCTTCTCTCTTTATTGTCATTATCTAATAAGCATTTTAGGAAATGCTGGATTTCTGATAGATATTGATGTTTAGAAAATGTATTCAATTAGAGTTTGACAGGAGAGGAAATTGCTTTATCAGTGCCACATACAGATACAGATACAGGCTAACACTTTCTGTAGGGGGGGGGGAGGTAAATAGGGATGAAGGTTAGTGGGCAAAAAGATTAAGAACCATGAATCCATAATCTTTTAGATTACTTTGGAGGAGCCATCAATCGACACACCACCAGAAAACAGTATAACTCCAATTGACCATTTCCCATAGGTCTGCATGTTGATACCCCGACACCCGAGGCATCATTTTATGGGAATCATCCTACATAGCCCCAAGTCCCCTGTTGTTGTCACACATTGCCTTACTTTCAAATATTTATCATATTTTAAATGTGTATCAACAGTGGGAGCACATGGAAATCAATCCATAGAAATAATAAGATAAAAGGAATAGTTTTAGCATATCCTTAACAGAATATATGTTAGCCAGTTTATAAATTTGTAGCAGTCCTCCATTATCAAACAAACAAACAAACTTTAGAACAACGGACTAACAGATCAATCTGCGGATCAAATATGGCTACTACTAAGAAGCTTGTCACTTGATTTCCATTTAGACACTGAATAGGTTCCTTGTGGGGATTACGCAACAAGCATTAAGGTGGGTCGTTGGATCTGTTAGTCTTCTGTTCTGACTGTGCTCAAACTAAAGCAATGGCCATGAAGTGCATTGCTGTTGTTGAGATGATCTGCACATCTATAGAGGGTAACAACAATCGTTTATCATCTTTGAAAGTCCGTCAAAATATTCCTATGTGTTGGATTACAATGGGAGTGCTTTTATGTTAAAGAGGATGAATTTGTCTTATTATAACAAACAATTTTGTGTTTCCAAACATTGTTGTGTATTTTAAACTTTTTAATTCTTAGCCGAAAATGACACTAAAATAGCGCTTAAATCTGGGACATAGACATCCCGTCTGTTTTGCAGCTGTACAGTATGGAAAAGAAAGTCCCAGAATAGTATTGTCACGTTTTTTGTTCATCTCAGGGATCATTCTAGATAAATACAAAAATTTTTCTTCATCACAAATTTTGATGGATGAAGAAAACAGGTTATTGTGCATTGTAATATTAGCATTGTTTCCGTTTTTAATTTCCATACAGAGTATGATCTCCCATACAGGTGAACTATACAAATCATTCAATTTCAGGATTTAAATACCTGAAATACCCTCTGCTTTTCATAAAACAACAATGTGTAAGGAAATCCTAGCTGTCATCTGAGCATGTAATCGCATATGTTATGACTCAATCCTGTTTCAATTCCTTCAGACATGCATGACAGCAAAACCACAGCGTGTAGCATGTATATAGTTTCGTTTCTCCCTTTCTCCATTCAAATTCAGCCCAGGGACCTAGCATACATAGTGGAAATTTCCATTTATGACATAATGACCCAGTCATTAAATTAGCTATAGGGAGTTTGCACTTATTGGCGTGTAACTCACTATAGATGATTTACATTTAGAAGTACACTGATATATGAGGAGAATCTGGTTTTCTAGAATTTCAAAGATGTCTTTTGTATGTGATTCAGGGAAGAACAAAGTAAATAGCTGAAAGTCATTTCAGTTTAATTTAACATTCTTGTTCAAAATACTTTACAACTTTCCAGAAATAAGATGCCTTATGTATATATAGTGCGACTCAAAAGTTACCACGTCAGTGTCATGTATGTAGACATCAGTGTTTCACTGTGATATGATACAATAAATCATTTGTTTTCAGTGGAGCTCCTGCTGCTGGGCACCATTTCTTATGGAACTGAAATAAAATTAAGTGCACTAGTAATATATTAAAATATATTTTAATGAAAATTGTGAGTGTGACACACAGTACACATGTTAGTTTTATAGCAAGCTTGCTTAATGTGCAATACTTTTGTGTGGTAATTAAGTTTGTCCAAATTTGTAAGGTATGATGGTAAATAACCAGTACATGACACGCTTGCTGTGAGACCATGTCAAAATATGATCAGTTTTACTTTCATAACAACAACACGACAATAAATAAAGAATTTGTGAAAACTGACAATAGGAAAACCAGTCTAACTGGAGGTTCTACTTGATGTTTAATGCAAATGCCTGCAGAGGTTACAGTATATCTGTCATTGATGGAATTTGGGGAAATTATGGAGAGATTTAAATTGATTCTCTTAAGAAGAATATTTACTACTAATGGATTGATGTGTTTGGAAATCTTGATGTGGTGAAAACTTAAAGGGAAAATAACTCTTCGTTTCGGCCAAAAAATGAATTTTCCTGGAGTAAACAACAATTTTCCCATACTTACCAATGGTTAATGAATCCATTTTTACATTCAAAGTTAGTCCCTGGTTTTTTCTAAAAAGTTTGGTTTTTTGTTAAAATCTCTTAAGAGATTTTAACAGAGTATAGCCATCAGTGGAGGTCACGTGGTCTAAAGACAAATTCAGATATCAGAATAATAGCTATAACTGCTGTTTTTGTGGTAAAACAGAATATATTATATTTCTATGAGTTATCCACAATGTTTTTATTGTGAAATATAGATCTCATAAGAAGAGTTATTATCCCTTTAATGCTAAGTTTACAAGGGGTTTCCTCAGCGTAAATAATTTCTTTTTCAGTTTGCAGCAACCTTCATACCTTCTACATTAAGACGTATTTGATGTTTCAGATGAACATCAGTATTTGTTGAAACTTCACAGAAGTAGATGCCAGCATCATCCACAGATACCCTGTTAATCTTGAGGGAACATTTGGTGTCCTGGCCCTTGAGTTCACAGGCTGTGGACAAACGCTCATCATCAGTGAACACAAAATTGCCCACAGTGAGTGGCTGTAATAAGCCTTCCTTTTTCCATACCTGAAAAAATATAGACATTAATATCAATGAATATAGCTTATTGACAACTTTTGTGCACCATAAAGTGAACTAAAAATTTTTCATAATGAACATGCATGTCACAGATTGATTTTAGTTACCAGCTTGAAAGTAGGGTGTACAATTTTTTTAACAAGTTATGCACTATATATCATTGACACACACACACACACACACACACACACACACACACACACTCTTAAAGTGATCGATGTCACTAAAATACAGGGAATTCAAAAATCAGTTTGAAACCATTTTTTCAGTTATGCTATTTGTTTTTGGCATATTTTATTCTATATGCAATACAGATATAGTAGAAAATTGGTGGTTTATATGCTGAGAATCATGTAACACTAAATTAAAGATTTTTTTGCTTATATATGATAATTTTCATTTTTGACAAAAAGCTATTTTGTGCATTGCCATAACAAATGCTTTCAAATGAAAACACTGCTAATTATTATTTTGTAAAATACTTACAATGAGCTCTCCAAGGTGATTCACAGAGCATGGGAGAATGGCATCTTTGTTTTCTGTCACCGTGACATTGACCTGTGGCGGTGACACATTAGGTCTTCCATACACTAAAAAGAGAATTACATGTAGATATATGCATATCTTCATACAAACTTCTGCATTGAAATCCATCTTCTAGGTCTGCTATTGGTGTGACAAGGTATCTTTTTTTCTTGGTGACTTGTTTTGGTTTCTTTCTTTTGCTTGATGCATTCATGATAAAATACAAATAATCCTACATANGTGCTACAGTAGAGGACAAGAATCGCCTCAACCGCGTAGTAAAAACTGCCAGGCGCATTGTAGGTAGGGACCTGCCGTCTATTGAATGTTTGTATACGAGACGAGTGCTCAAGAAAGTAAAGTCAATCACGAGTGACCCTGGTCACCCAGCGAATAGCCTACTTATGCATATGTCAACAAGCCGACTGCGGTCATTAAAAGCAACCTCCACGCGCACTAAGAATAGTTTTTATCCATCAGCAGTACGTATTTTTAATGAACAAAATGTATTTTAATAATTCCACTGTATCTCATTTTATATTTGTATAAATATGACAATAAATTATCATTATTATTATTATCATTATCATTATTATAAAAATTAAAATATCCTACATATATACCTCCATGCAAGGATCCCATTTCTCCACTAAGTATCAGACACAAACAATGGATCACAATGACACGTGCCATATTGTGTGACTTTTTCATTGAACAGACCTGATATATAATACCAATTTGAATGTTCAAATATGTTTTCAAACATTAAAGTCAGTAGCTTTCTCTCATTATTTACCAATTCTCATGTGCATTTCAGGAAATTGACTTTATTATTTTTATGATATTCGATAGAAAAATGATGGGGAGGAAATTGTTTTTTATTATTATTATTATTATTGGTAGTTTTCATTCCTCACCCAAGGTGCCCTTTTCAAATGTGTTGGTATTCAAACTGCCATGATGATCATCAGCCCTATGAGCAGTTGCTCCCAAAAATTGACAAAGTGATTTAAAAATTACGTGCCATTTCACATGAATCTTTTAAGGATGAAAAACGAACCTTAGTCTATCATATGGTTGAATAATTGATTTGAGGGAGAATAAAGGTCAGTGAATCAAGATTCTCTCATTATTGTCATTATTTAATATACATTTTAGGACATGTTGCATTTTTGATGATAAATACATTGATGTTCATATTAAAGTGACAGGAAAGGATATTGATTTACCACTAAGAGGTATAGGTCAACTCCTTCAAGGGAGGGAGGAGGGTGGAAGGGTTTACATAAATTAGTGAGCAAAAATGTTAAGAACCATGAATACATAATCTTTTCTGTTGCCTTTGGAGTCATCAATCCACAAATCATCAAAAAACACAAACTCCAGTGGACCATTTCCCACAGGTCTACATGTTATACCTCGACATCTGACCGAGTCAACATTTTATAGGAATCATCCAAGATAGCCCTAATAAGTCCCCCATTGTCACACATTGCCTTGCTTTCAAATAGCTATGAGAATATGTCTGTACTCTTAAAGATTTTAAAGTAGTGTATGTCAACAATGGTAGCAGATGGAAATCAATGCTTAGAAGTAGTTATCTGTTTATCTCAAACTCTATCAATCACCATGAAATGCATTGCTGTTGTTGAGATGATTGTGGTATATTTAGATCTTAGCCCACCTCTGTCATTGTGGTAGGTGACCTCTCATTGTGATTTTGACCCTATCACAGCCTACTGTACAGTCTTTTGTAAGGCTTTAGTTTGAGAGAATGGAACCACCACACTCAATGTGTTAATTTTGATTGGGACTTGGAAATAACTTACGAGACTGATTCCTGAGACTAAAATGTAGATTAAGTTTGAAAATAACCCTGACTGGATTGTTTTTCTTGAAATTATGCAGGGTTTTTTTGTGTGTGAATTTTTCAATTTCACTTATTGTTTTTTCGAAGTGTAATTTGAATCTGTACTATCTGAAGCCTTGTGTTATTTACAGTTTCTGGAAGTTCACAGTAACATTGTCTTCAAAATTACAGAACTGATAAATATGAATTAAATACAGTAAGAGTTTGAAAATCACCATGATTTGATTCTTTTATTGTTATTATCATTATTATTTGAAGTTATGCATTTTTCTGCAAAATGTTCATTTATCACATCATTTTTAAGGTGTAAATTTGAACTTCCATAGGTCTGAAGGCCTTGGTTAGTCACATTTTCTGAATATCCATGATATCCATGTGTTATTGAAAGTTTATAAGGATTACGCTGTTAAGCATTATGAAATATTCATGAAAATTGACAAAAAAACTTCCTTATTTACATTGGTTGTTTATTATTTTATGCTGATTTAATATTACTGCTTCTGTCAGTTTTGTCATCTTTATGTCTGTCCATATGACAGTTTTGCTACCTTGTCTCCCTGTGCTGGTTAATAGATTTATTCATTGTCCAAATACCAAACCAAGAAATACAATTTGTTTTTGGGACTGCTTTATTGAAAATCAAATTTATTTACAAGTCATTGGTGTTACTGTGACCTTGAATCATACTGAATTTCTAAAAGCATTGTATCTGTTCAAGTTTGAAAAATTACAATATAAAAATCATATTCAGACCAGTCCCCCTCTCCCAAAAATGGTAAGAAAATTAGGGCAATGGCTTTATCTTTTCAATGGGGAAAATTGACTTTTGCAAATATTGCGTAAACACATTTTTTGGTAATATTTTTTTTAAATTAGGACATCGTGATTGGTTGCAAAAAAAAAATAATAATAATAATTGAAAGGCAGGCTACCTTATAGTTCTATTGTATACAGTAAAAGCGCCATAAATGGTACACAGAAATATATTTTTTTGTGATTCCAAAATTATACATCTCAAAGATTGATAATTTTTCCCAATGAAAAGATTGTACTCTGGACTCTGAAAATGATTTTTATCATATTCATTATGCATTAAATTGCACAATTTTGCAAAATCCTTACCCATTCTTGTATTCTAATCTGCCTGTATGTCAAATACCTCCATATCAGTAAGAGAATATAAATCTATTTTCCTACAGTTATTACATATGATCAGATTTTAATAGTCATGCCTATACCCAACTAACTGATATACAAAAAGGAAGAATGAGAAGAAATTCTAGAGTTGGACAACCATTAATAATGTTTCTCCACATACTTATCTATCAGCATATAAACAAGGACAGCTGATTTAAATTTGGTAATGATGTCCATAAAGCATAGAAATACAGTATTTTGGTGAAAAAAGAATAGTTTGTATTGTACATGTAACTCTTGAAAATTGAGGGGTTGAGGAGTTGGTGAGGTTATAGCAATGTAAAAATTTTTCTCTGTCTTGAGTTCGGTTTCATCCCTTAGTAAAATATTAGATACTTCACCATGTAAGTTTTGGCATTTGATATGGGCATTAATATAATTTAAGATCCCATTTTTAAATACGGTTTTATTTCTTTTGGCAAATTACAAGAAAAAACTCAGGAAGCAGAACACAATGGTGGAAAGGAGTAGGGTATACAGGGTTGCCAAAATTTAGTACTAAAACATGTACATTTATTGTTAAATGTGTAGTTAACAACAGAACACCTGAAAGCAACAGGAACCAATGCTAAATTTGTAGAGTTGGCAACCCTGTATAGAATTTCAATACCAGTTTGTGATCAGACTCCACCAAAACAACTAATATATATATATATATATATATATATATATATATATATATATATATATATATATATATATATATATATAGAAAGCCACAACACTACTTGTACAGATACCATATACATTACTACTTTACACAAATTAAAACATTATTTTATAGGTTATTACAAAGAAGCACTAGGGCATAGTGACTGCTCAACATTAAACAAAAGTTTTACAGAAAGCAATAAGAAAGATTTTTTCTCCGATATTATATAATAACTAAATCTTGCATCTATATCATAATCTTAAAAAGTAATACTTGCTTAATTGTTCTGAAATGATATCACAATATTTTACTTTGATTTTTCATTAAAGCCAATCCACATATGTAAAACATAAATATTTACAAATTTTGAATGTGGCCTAATCACAAAATTATGAACTTCTTGTAAAGAATATCATATGGAAGCTCTTTTTTAATCTGCTAAAGTCAACCTAGAATAGTAATAATAATGTAGACATTTAATAAAATACAGATTTTCTTGTGACCAGTATTTACGTATTAGTTAAGGCATTAATGTATCATTGATAAAAACTTATTTATCCACATATACTACGATAGACATATGTCATTGGTTATACAATAAATACATATTTTTATATCACAAAAAGTGCAATGCAGACTGAATAAAATACCTTTTTGTTGTCAAAATTTTCAATATAACATTTGATTGTCATTGAATAAAATCAAAAAATGTTGAAATGCAGTTTACCGCATACCAAAGATGAATTATATGTTAGAAAACTTTAATTGTACCCTTTTAGGTACCAGATCTGCTTATGTTTCATGATCTTAAAAAAATCTTGATATGTTACATGTAACAGTGCAAAGCATCATGCCTGTTTCAATTTAAATCATTTGGGGGAATTAATAAATATTAACATTTACTTGCAGAAGCAACAATGAGAAGATTCGGCTTGCAAGATCACATTGAGAGCTTGCATATAATGCAGGAGAGGTGGCCAAGTAGAATGTGGGTGCACCAGTAAAAAGAAGGTAAACAAAAATGATAATAAAAAAAAATTTGCAATAATTATTACACATTTCATTGTTATGTTTTTGTATACAATAATGAACATGTTCAATAGCCACGTTAATCAAATTATCACCCTGGTCTATCCCAGGTTCTAAAAGGAAATATTCAGTAATATAAATGAATAATACTTTTAATGCTAAATCAGTTTTATATGAAACTTTGCTAATGTAGATGATACATATGTTTGTAACGTATTGACCACAATTGGGACTCTAAAGATAAAAAGTAATGTTATATATGCCAGTTTGTAACTGAGCATTTTGTCCAATGGTTAACATATTTGTATATAAATAAAATAAATGCACGTAAGTTTTACTTGTCAAGAAAATGACTATTCTTGATTAACAAAATTAGCTTTCAGCTGACTATCCATTACAAAAGGATTTCTCTGTTAGACTGTTACATTTTCTTTCATTAATCTATAATTCATGTATGTATAACTTTACAGTAAACCTCTTCTTCTTAAGCAACTGCCCATATCAATGTACACATTTTCTATCAAGTGATTCAACATCCTTCATCTTTGCTTATTTCACTGCATCTGTTAAAAAAAGTTGTATCCAGAATGCCTGGTTTTAATGCTCATGTCATTGCAACAGTGCTGTCAGCATTGTTGTCAAGCACAGCAGAGGAATGGTGGTGGAGACTGTGGAAGCTTGACCTTTCTGCCCCTTGTCACTGACACTGCCGATCACACCTAAAGTGAATGTTAATATACAGAAAATGTGTGCTGTTGATAGACATCAGTCTTGTAGAAACCCTCTCCTCCCCCTCCAAACCATCCCTTTTAGGAAAGACATAACTTGATTGACACTGAGCATAAAAGGGAATTTTTGAATACTGCTATTTACTGAAATTAATATATAGTTCTTTTTGTAATGCAATATGATTATCTTGTAAATAGTGCAAAATTACAACTGATAAATAATATGTTTTTAACTCTCTCTCTCTCTCTCTCTCTCTCTCTCTCTCTCTCTCATACATCATATTTAGACATGATATCTATCTTTGTTGATGCTACCATTTTTCAGTGGAATAACAAAAGAGTGAAAGAGAAAAGTCTGAACCAGTTTCATGGTGTTTTTTTTATAGATTTTTAAAAGGCAGCTTGCACCTCACAAGTGCACTGGCCATGATTGATGGCTTTGTATTATCTGTGCTGGCTTTACTGTCCCTGCTTTCATTAAATTCCATTAAATAACAATTTGTAGAACTCCAGGGACTGTATTGTGAAGCCTGGATTACTTTCAAGTGGATGTACTGTAATCTGTGATCACAGCTTTGGGTCAGAGGATAAAAAATTACTAAACCAAAAGTGAAATACTTGTAAGGAAAATGCACATATATCATGGTTACAAAATGTCTAGAGGCTACTTATATTGTGGCTACAGTGTGTACATGTATAGTTGTGTGATTATTTTTTTGTTTCTCTGAAAGAAATTAGCTACCTGATGTTGAAGTGCTTGTAACTTAATACATGTCATGATTACAAAATACCGAGGCTTTTTGCATCCTAACTGTAATTAATTATTTTTTACAGCAGGGTTGCCTACTTTTTGCACCTGAGCATATTCTATATATTTTGTCTATTCATTCCTTTTGTTTTCAGGTGATTATCAACACTTAATGATAATGCACACAGGCTCATCAAATATTTTTATGCTAAGGGCTCTAACCTATTTGTAATATTTTGTAATGATTTATAAGAACTAAATGATTAATGTGTCATTGCTTCTCTCCTGTTTTTTAATACAAGTCTTACCATTACTAATTCCACAGCGCATTTAAGCTAATGTATTTAACTCAAGCAAATGGAATTATATCATTTTCTAACAAAGCTAATTTTCATGCTTGTTTTAATTTTTTTCATCTCTTAGGTCTTAATCTTATCTCAATCTGCAAGTCTGTTATGGTTGAAACCAGCTGTTATATTTATAAATGTACCAGATATTTTTTTAGAAATTCATTTTGTGGGAAATATATTTTTCATTTCCATTGTAATAAACTCAGTTTATTAATTGCTGAATAAAGAGAAGGTACATATGGGGCTACAATAATTGTAATAAAATCTGAAAATATAATTTCTTAATCACTTTACTTTTGTTGTTTGAATTGCTGATATTTGAATATCATTAGAAACATTTTACTAATCTTTCATGACACCAAATTTTCACCCATATTTACAACTTTAAACATTTTTATTACAGGTAAAGTTTTCTGTTCAACTCCCCTTAGAGGTATAGTCTCAATTGAGCTACATGTTGTGTTCATGCTCTTACTAATGATGTGGAGTGTCACTGCTTGACCTCATTCTACTACGTAACCACTTCAGCTAGTTTTTTATATGACTAAAATAAAGTTGACTCTTATTCTGCTCAAAATACTTTTAAAACTGCACACTTCTTTATAATTTTGGTACGATTAAGCAAGAAGTTATGGCCTCTTTGCAACCCCACAAGTGAAAATGGTGCATAATTGTAGGTAAATAATAACTTTTACTGACTCATTACAGCATTATTTTTAGGATATTGAGTCGTATTGACTATTTAAGGTATATTTTTAATCTATCAATTAATATTTACTCCTAAATATTTATATCAATTAACCCAGGCAACAATTCATTGCATGGTCAAATAATTAGGCAATTGATCAGTGGGATTATACAATAAAAGTGGCCTTGTTTGGCCAAATCTGAAACAACCAATTTTCTGTGTTGCCTCTTTTCTTGGTATGAATATGATTATGAAGGTTTGAGGTAATCTGGGATGGAGGAGACATAAAAAAAGTATTTCTGGAATGCACCATACCTGGTCTCTCATTCTTTGGATTTGAATACCCATTAGTTGATGTTCTGGTGAATGATGTTGCCTCTGGATCATCATTGGATGGTTTCATGACCTCTACCTCTGTGGCAGTATTTTCTGGCTCTTTTCCTTTAATGGTATAATGTGGTGTTGCCGTTGTTGAATCCACTTCTTTTGTATCTATATATTCTGAAAGTTGAATAATAAATATATTTCATGTAAATTTATCAATCCCCTCTAGGTTGTCTATATGATGTCACACAGAGAAATAGAATAGAATAAAATAAAAAAAATGTATGTTTGTACTCTTGGTCATGGATGTCATCAAAGAGGGAAGGTGCAAAACTTATGGTCAAAATACCTAAAAAAATGTTTTATTGGCTTGCTGTATATGTGATTTTTGGTAACATTCAATATTTCAGACTTATTGGGTAGATGCTTCTGTGAGTACACAAACTAAAACAGAAAATGAAATTAGGATGCTGCTTAAAGCTACTAAGAACAGCAAGGTTATTATCAGCCCTTCGAATCCCAACTACCAGACTTGGCACCCAATGATCCTGAATTCACTGGTAGATTGGACCACACTACCCATTTTCAAGTTGTGCGTCAGTACACGCTTCAGAGTATCAGACGTGACACTGCTCTTGCCTAGTACGCGAAGTGATGATTCTCAGCGGGGCTGGAAAGTAGTATGGGGTATGATATACTGTGAAATGCATACTGACACACACCTTGAAAATGGGTAATGTGGTCTGATCTACCGGTTTTGTGATCATTTGTTTGTAGAGTTTGGTAGTTGGGTGAACCTGATTATATTTCATTAACACGTTTCTCTTGATTTATGTATTTGTTTGAAGGATACCTCCTTAAAATACAAATAAATCAAAATCCGTGTCATGTAAATATAATGGGTTTGCACTACTTACCAAACACTGTCATAGATTTTTTCACCATTCCAAGCTTATTTTTGGCCACACAAGTATATTCTCCAAAATCTTCTTTGGTGAGATCAAATATCCTCACGGTGAGGATCACTGTCTTGGGTCCCTCATCATATGCCTCCACATCATACCTAGTGGACCTTTGGATTTCAGTATTTCTGTACATCCAGTAGATTGTTACAATTGGTTCTGCAGTTATGATACACTCAAGAATGGTGTCTTTGCCTACAGACTGACCAATTCTTGGGTTTGGCAGACGTACCTCTGGGGGAACTGAAATAAATTTGGAAGATTGGTATAATCAAAGCCTTTCTTTGTTGATAGCATCGCACTGTTGACTTGCAATGGAAACGTTCATATTATCTTTGACTTGCATGTGTACAATGCAAATTGTTCACATTTTATAGACCTTTTCAAATATGAATAAACAATCATGATTTCATGAGACCTATCATGCACACACACATAGGCTACTGTACCAACATTTGAACTTGTTTTCAATGGGTGTGTGGAACATTAAAAAATACTGGTCTGTTTCGACAGTATTAATATAATTAATGTTTAAATAAGCTAAAACAATTATTGAACATGAGTACTAGCTAGTAACTGTACACTTGCTTCCATTGGACAGAAGGCTATGTTGGTTACAATATAGTGATCTTGATCTAATTTGCATGATAAATATTTTATCACTAAAAATATCATGAATTATATGGATCTATAGCCTTCATCAATATGAACATTTTCCCCAGCCAAATATAAAAAACCAAATATACTTACATTCCACCACCACCCTCATCAGTCTTGAGACTGATGATGCCACTCCATTGTAAGCCTGACACTCGTAAACATCATCACAATATCTAGAAATGTTGTGGATGATCATAACTTCTCCATCAAGCCCAACAACCTCTGAAATGTTTTAAAGAAAAATAATATTTTAGAAAACGGGTGTTCTTTATGCTCTGATTCTGTGCTATGGCATTTGTGAATCTGACTCAAAATCATGTATAGAAATATCTTTATTTCTTATAATAAATAGCATCTCAAAACTGCTTGTTTTTTGTTTAGCTTAAATCACTGAAGCATTTAGATGAGTTTGGTTTAAGGTATTTGTATGCCATTTTTCTGGAAATTGATAAATGCTATTAAGTTAAGAAATGTTTATAAGTTTATCTGATTCTATATAGCAAATAAAAGGAAGAATATAACCAACACAGCATACTCAAAAATTTTAAATAAAATCTCAACCACATTTTAAATTAGTCCTGAAACCTGAAATTTAGAAGTTTAGAAATGTTTATTAAATAACCCATATTTAATGTTGAAAATAAATTCTGTTGGAAAAATATATGGTTTTTAATTTATTATTTTCTAGTACAGTAGCTAAGGGTACTTTTATATTTTAATTTCTTCACCTTCATAAGAATTCAAAAATTGAAAACATGAAGTTGGACATGTAAACAGACCTCAAAAAAAAAAAAAAATTAAAATAATAATTTGAAATTCCACTCAGTATGATGAATAAAAACAGTGACATTCCATGAGCTAGCAACACCATTGTAAAAAGCTACAGTTTTACATGTGTATATAATTATATAACCTCCACACATACATACATGTTCTTTATTTTTCTGTAAAGACACTTTTACAATTTAGAGGACTGAAGCACCTCTACAAGTGCAATAAACAAAACAAAAAAGTGCTATTCATTGTCTTACAAAAAAAAAAAACGATTATAAGTAAATATTTTATAGCTGTAAGGTAAAGTGCCTGTGAGTGGAGCGCATACTGAAATTTGTGTAAAAACATGAAAAGCATTACGTAATGCAAAGTGGCTATGCTGAATTGAGCTCACATAAAAAAAACTATAAAACATGCAGTGAATAAGAAACGGGTCAAACACTGAAAACAATTGGCATGTGAGACATACCAGGGAGGCGTCCCCTGGAAGTAGATAATCTTGAAACTGAGGCTGCTAGAAGGAAAGAAATAATTCAACAAAGCAGTGAACAAAGATCATTGATAGTGCATAACTGAAAACAAATTTGTGCTTTTTCCTAGATCTTTTGGTGCTCGTTCACTGTCCTAAATCTGTATCACATTTTAAATAAATAAATTTCTGTGCTTGTAAGATAACTGGGTTGAATAAATATGTGCTTATATATCAGGCCTACCCAACTACCAGACTCGGCACATAAGGATCCCGAATTAACCGGTATATCGCACCACACTACCCGTTTTCAAGGTGTGTGTCAGATCGCATTTCGGAGTATCATACCCCAGAACAAATTTTGTAGGACGACTGTGGGCTCATCCACACTCGACTGTCACCTTGATTGGATAGTAAATGATTGTCTTAAAATCGCTATATGATTTTAAAACCAGGTGCATAAATTTGAAAACCACCTAGAACAACCTTTGACTTACTTTACAACCTTACTCTTACTTTAGAGTACTCTATTTTATTGTCTCTATGGGGGTATATGGGCACTTTACGACATTCGGTTTGAATGTTTTAACACCTTTTGATAGGGCTTTTTTGCATTGTATTAGATTAATGTGGCAGTCTAAGGTTGTTCTTGGTGGTTTTCAAATTTATGCACCCGGTTTTAAAATCATATAGCGATTTTACGACAATCGTTTACTATCCAATCAAGGTGACAGACGAGCCTGGGCTCATCCTGTCGGTGTTCTGACTGATACTCTGAAATGCGATCTGACACACACCTTGAAAACGGGTAGTGTGGTCCGATATACCGGTTAATTCAGGATCCTTAGGTGCCGAGTCTGGTAGTTGGGTAGGCCTGTATATGAGCACTATTCATCTGTTTTTTTTTTTTTTCTCCATAGTAATGGACCAGGTTGACAGATGTTTGTAAAGAAGAGGAAACATAAGGCTGTTTTGTTTTCTTTTTCATATTTTTTTTCATATTCATAAAGTCAAATGATGAACATCTTTCCATTCTAAAAAATTTGCCCAAAAATATAAACATTTTAATGAAAATATAGTTCTCTCATTGAATTGTTACTAAGTTTAGTTACTAATTTGAAAGTGCCATAGGTATTTAAGTGTATGCTCTCCATATTGCACATGTTTGATGAAAATCACACCCTTGTGCTATTCAGATAAGAGATATATATTCAGCTTTGCTTATTTGGAAAATGCCTTGGCACCCATGGTTTTGATCTAATGGGTACATCTTAGTTTGAATGGTTCAATGTTCTCATCATTGGCTATTGTTATCAGAGAACAGGGACAGTTTTTTCTCAGATATATTGTGTAAATAGAATATGCTTTTTTGGACCAATGAATTTTAGACTAATGAACCCTTCAGACCATTGGGCCTATGAGTTGCCCAGTTTTTAGACTAATGAACCCTTCAGACCATCGGGCCTATGAGTTGCCCACATTAACACTCCTAATGTTAAATATGTTATTGAGAGCTTAACAGACAAGTTTTCATTGTGCAGAATTCTGTGTATAACTATTGTATTTTGAACCACAATAAATAATATCACAAAAGTTGGGAATGATCTGACTGGCACATATCAAATCATTTTACACAAAGATGTTTAAGCAATACAGATGAAGTACCAGGATCTCTGACCTTCACATGTGAATAAATATAGTGCGTCTGCCAGTGCTTGTGCAAATGTGAAAAGGAAAGAACACGAACAATGTCTAAGCAGACAATAGAAAGAAACTAACAATTGCATCAGTTCTAGGTGAAATTTAGCAATAAACAAGTGCAACTTGGCATCCCTGCCCAACCTGCACTTGTGTGATAAACTTGGCCACCACATGTATGCATTTTCAGTGCATTATTCATAAACATACTGATCACAGACAGATTGAACAAAAATTTGTGATAGGACATAGGCCCCCACTTCCACCCCTCCAAAATGTACTTGGTTATTACACATCAGTTTTTTTTTTTTTTTTAGAAAAATGGGGTGTTCTGCAGTAACAGGGTTGCTTCAAAGATTGGTTTTCCAGGTATCTTGGAATGGATGGAATACAAATAAATAGCATCTTAATTTTCATGGTGCTATGAAATACAGCTTTCAACCTATTCTTTAACTAAGTACAATAGGAGAAAAGCTACAAAATATGTCCCCGTTGCAATTGTTAGTCCACTTCACACAAGTGTGCAGTGACAGTAGGGAGAGCAAAGAGTAGTACCAGTCCAGGAAAGCTCTGGGAAATCATCTTTACCTCCTTCGCCTGCAAACAGACACAGGAAAGAACTAGAGAAAAGCTGCAAGCATCAGCATATAGCTATATGCCTATAGGCTTTGACGATGCTAGTATGATTTATATACTATAATAGGAAGACAGTTTATTAGATGAAAAGCTTAGCATACTTATATGATAAATATATTTCTGAATCATATAAAACAATATTTTTGCCCTATGTGGGACAACACTAGGTATATACAAGTTCCATTAAGAGGTTTATTTAACTTGCTTTGCGATTTGTGTGTTTGCTGTAAATGCCCCCCCCCCTCCAGTTCTCTTGAGAAATAAAAGGAAGAAAAAGTCAAATCTGTGCAAAATAGTTTCAGAAAAACATTGTGGTGAAAATTTAATCACCTTTTTTGTTTGTCAAATTTCTGTTATCATATGTTACTTCATATAAATTGTTTTAAAAATATGTTGTCACTTGATTTAGGTACATACTGGTACCTACACATTCAAATTTAACCAAAATATAGGTTGTGTATTGATAAAAAATAGGTATCAAAGCAAACATGTAAATTACACATCCTGATTTTTTTTTTTTTTTTTTTTTTTTTTTTTGTAGTAGTAGTAGTAGTAGTAGTAGTAGCAACAAAGATGATGCTCATGGAAAATTGTATTAATCAAAATTCTGTGGGCATGTTACATTTCATTTATACGTCAACAGACAAGATGCAAATCATCATCTAGACATACATATTTTGTACTATTGATCAAAGGGTTCTGACAGATTGAGATAGATAGATAGATAGATAGATAGATACCTGTTGTGATAACCTCTTTTTGAAATTGATAATATGTATAAGAATATATTGTACTTGCATTTGTGGCTTAAATATGAACAAGCTACCGACCTTATTTTATAGCTATAATGTAAATCTCACAGTAAACCTGCAGATACAACAATCACTGTGATTATACAAACCTTCTGTCATGACATACAGGTGATTGAAAATAACCTTAAATTTTACAAAACTCTATTACATAATAAATACAGATTAGGAAATTTTATCTGCTAGTAATTAAATGAAATAGAAATTAACACTGATGAAACAGAAATATTAAACAAAAAGGCTGCTATCCTATTCACCTATTTTTATCTATTAAAAAGCAAACCTTATAGCTATGTGAGTATAATTTGAGAACAAACACATTGTATTTAATATGAAAAAATGCTGAATACAAACACATTGTATCTAATATGAAAAAATGCTGCACAGTTGAAAAATGAGGAAGTTTTTCTACAGCTGATTTTGGTCTTTGAATATACTAGTATTCTTTTTAAAAATGAGTGCAATTGGGCAAGTGATGTCACTGGTAGAAGTTTGTTGATTATGAAATAAACTGATGTAATTTAGACATGCAGTGCTACACGTATTTAAGCAGATTATAATTTAAATTTCATTTAGGTTTTTTATTGAAAGGTAGATGTTTTTTCCAGTTAAAGTAATTGATATTATTGGCATAAAGAGAGAACCAAAAATGAAACAAAATATAGAAGCAGAAAATATAACTGACAAATAATTAACCTGTTGTTAAAACTAATGTACCTATTGTATAAAATTCAGCTAATATATACTAGGGTTAATCTCTCTTAACATTTTCTACACCTACTTCTAATGCACGCAACCTGTTCTGTAAAAAGATGTTCTAATAATCCAAGCCTACCTTTCCACAGTGGAAACAGGGCAGCTGTTTCCTCATCACCTGTAGCCTCTAAGCAATATGACATAATAATGCTAAAACATTGCATGCAGTTAAAAAAAGATACAATCATTTGACACCGAAGAGATATTATTACTAGGTTCTAAACACCACATCACAATGTGCTGTTTTAAGTGAAGTAAAACTTTGTTTAAGTTAATATATCCCTCTGCCTTAGCTGCAATCCTTCTGGTGAAGACGTCTTACCACTTTGCCTGATGGATGTTGAATCATTGATGTTGACAGTTCAATTGCTCCAAAGTAGTGCCATTTTAATTCACCACCCATGTGTCATAATTGGAAACCTTTCTAATGGATTACACCTTTTATCTAATTAGTTTTTTATGATGCAATGTCTAGTTTTGAGTAAGGTATTGAAAAACATTTCTTAGAGGATTTGGAAAGCTTTTAGGGAGTAAAATACTTGCTGACTAATACAATTGACCGAAGATGGTCTAGAAATGCACTTGCACAGCTTGACTATGAAAATGACATTCTTCAGGGAAAAATGAATTACAGAAGCAATTTTTTTTATAAAGGAGCCACTTATATAGTGAAATGGAAAGCCCAACGATACAGCAAATGTTCTTTTGAATTTATGTACCTGTAATGATTTACTTACTTTCTTTCTTATCATCAGACTCTTTGGCCCCTCTTCTGTACCAGTTGACCTTTGGTGTGGGCTGACCAGTGACATTGCAGGTCAGTATGACTGTGTCACCTTCTTTAACCTTCTGGAATGTGGGACTTGACCTGTTTGACACTATTTCTGCAGGAACTGGATTCAAAAAAAGATCACAGATTAGACCAAGATTAATAGCATTAGTTTATCGGTACAATTGGTAGTCTGTAGAACCCCAAAAAAAGCAAATCAGTTCCAATATTTGGACTGCAACCAAGCAAGATGCCTAATAAATCAATAACTCATTTTCTATTCCTGATGTAAAAAGCACACTATGTATACATATACGTAAGATGTATACTACAGAACCAACAGCAGGTGTAACATTGCATCAGGTTGTGCATCATAATGTGTTAGCTGAGACAAAACTAAGTTGACTAGAAAAGAGCAAGCATTCTTGGTTTATACAAAACTACACTTAAAAGATGTAATAATTAGATATTTTAATAAAAACTAAATTATTCCTGTAATCACTGCTATATTTGTATGTAATATGTAAAAATAAATTTTAAATATACATTAATCGATCTGTTGTGTTAAATTATATTTCACTTGAGTAGATTCCATACAGTTTACTTCAAGTAAAATTAATTACATGCCCACCTTTTACATGAAGATTGACCACCTTGGCAAGCACAGGTTGGGGTCCTATAGAGCACGTATAACTTCCCTGGTCTGACAGTTTGACTTCATCAATGTGTAAATTCCAGTCTCTTAAATAAGGCCGCACAATACTAAAGCGATGGGTGTCTATTACTCTCCTGTCATTCAGGGTTAAAACCTCCCCCTGTGGACCTTGCCAGAGCACCTATGAAAGAAAGAAAGAAAGAAAGATAGATAGATAGATAGATAGATAGATAGATAGATAGATAGATAGATACATTATCTTTGTTGATCCATACTCCCTTTTTGACCATCTTCCAATATAGTAAGTTAGTTGCACATCGATGTAAACTCAAAAATTCTGACTGTCTTCCAGAAAACCCAGAAGACAGCTTCTGCCCACCCCTGCAATTATTACATTGACTTACTTTAAAACAAAAAGATATGCTTAAAGACATGAAAAAGTTACATGATTGTCAGATTATCTTAGGTTCAATCATTATTAACTCAATTGAGTTGAATTTTACTTTGAAAATAATTATCAGTTATTTATTTCCTTTGATTATATTTCAGTATGTTTAGTGCATTTAGAAATCCAGCACTATTAGAGTTTAACTATTAGTGTAAAAGCATTATCTCTAACGTCCATGTGGTTGGTATTTTACTTTTGCGTTTATTGATTTTAATTTGTTCTAATTTTTTCAATTCCACAGATGAAATTGATTACATTATTGATTTATATATTTTCTAATTTATTAGTTGAAATACATTTACACTTCCAGGTATCTTCTTAATGTGCCTTTAAAAAAAGCAACTGCTACATGTATAATCTAGTGCATGGAAAGAGACCAGCAGCCCAAGAGAGAAACAATCTCTTAGATCTTGTTGCTGAGGTCAGATCATCACAGACTTAATTTCCCATTCTTGTTAGGTAAGTCTTTTATATGCCAAAGAAAGGAAGAGAAAGAGAAAGAAAAAAAGACAGAAATGTCTTGAAAATTGGAATTTTCTTGGTTCAAATCCACCATGAATTTTCCCGTACTGATAAGTTAATTTCCTTTTGTAAGAAAAAAAATTACATAGAAAGAGAGGAACTCAGAACTGATAATTATTCTGAAATGTAATTAAGTTTGAGGACCAATTCATGTGAGAGATGCATGTAATGGAGTGTAATAACTAAATTTTCTTTCAAGATGCACACACACTTTTGGCACCTTTCTGATCCCATTTGAAACCTTCAAAAACATCCGGTATACCCTAAGGTAAAAAAAGTTGGCAGAATGTGGTTACTTTTTTAATCAGATTTTAACCTTTAAGAAGTTAGACAATTGTGCTGCATCTTTCCTTTGACAGTTTGATTGGAAACTTTGCGCTTTTCCATAAAAAAAGTTCCCTGTATTCAGCAAAAATTTTCATTTCAAACAGGTCTGCATGACAATAATGTCATTGATATACTTTAAAAAGACATTTATTACCAAAATATTTCATCATCCCATACCTGACATCCCCAACCCATTTTATTCAATACAATTTTAAATTCTGAATAAACTTTTGCCTTTTTTTAATGGATGGGTCTGACTATCTAACGATGTTAAGTATAAACGAAGGTCATTGTTAATGCCCAATAACTTGAGATTGGAGGAGGCAGTTGACAATGATCAACTTCCATTGTTCATGACATCCTTGTCTTGCTTGATTCAGATTCCCCATGGTGATTAAACTGTTCTTGGCTACGCAATGCACTTATGGTAGAAAAGAGAAATCCATCTTAGGACCATGATGTCCTGTATTCAATTTCTCATGATCATGCCCCAGGTGATATAAGTTTTTCCTGTATTTATAGATTTGAGATGTTCGATGATATTGCAAAGCTTATTTTAGGAAGGCAATACAATCGTTTGATTTTTCATATCCAAGGTGGTATAAAATTTTCTCAAATAAATTTTTAATTGATTTATTTTATACTGAAAATTTAACTTACATGTAGTAATGAAGCTGTCCATACCTAGATCAATCTAGCAGGATTGATCCATATCGGAGGGGTTTCTCGCTAAATTGCTTTCACCTTAAGCAGCTTAGTTGTCTGGCACACCTACTGAAGCTGCTAAAATGGTAGTTAATTACCCCCTTACAGCTTCAGTAGGTGTACCAGACATTGGAGCCTCTTAAGCTGAAAGCATTATAGCAAGAAACCCCTTGGAGATGGGTCGATCCTGCTAGATCGATCGATCTGACAGGGTCTAATATAAATGGTTACATAATATAGATGAGAGGAAGGGGGGATGGAGATGATGCACCATTGTATAAGCAGGGCCTTAGGTATAAAAAATAAACAATTGAAAACCAAATTCTTTCTCTCAAAATCATTTAAGGATGGTATGAAAAATCTGTTTTTTATTATCTACCTCTTAAACAGTTATGTGAAAGTGCAGTAAAATATTTTATGTCTGACAGTGTTTTGAATCATACTCTATTTGTTTAAAGTTTTCAAAGTCACTTTTTATCATGACTAATTAACCAACTTAAACTATAGGGAAAAGATTTAGTTGAGAAGATGTGAACAGCTTCATAAATTTGATTTTAACATCTGCTTCAACTTCCATATCACTTCCTGACTATTTGCAAGGTGACCCCACTTGAGATGAGGGGTGCTCAATAATTGTATGGACTGCTAGGCTCACTCTCTCCATGGAACAAGAATTCTACTGAGTTTTGATCATTCCAGTACATGTAGATCAATTTGCTTGCAGTTTTCACTTATGTGCATGCATCTTTAGGTTTGGCTGTTCTTCAGGTCAAAACTGTTCTGTCCACTAAAATGACATGTTACTAGCTTGTTTACATATACCTTGAGGCTGCGTCCAGATTAACTTAAACAGTATCATTGATATTGTCATTTAACTAAAAGTTCATTTTGCATGGATCTGCCAGACAACAGTGTCTCACAAAGTCATTATTTAATTTTTAATTTTTTGTTTCAATTTGACTTTGATTTAGATTCATATGAAGGTATGAGGAGAAAGGGAGTTGAAGGAAACTGGAAGGGGGGGTTAGTTTGGTTAACTGGAAATCTCGGGTAGATTATTTCAGGTTTAAGAAAGTTTAAAGTACCTTTGTGATTTGAGGCTTTAGTGTTCATTTTAAGTCGCTGGGATGAATCATGTTTGGCAACTTTGTAAGATAGCAATCTCGGAATTATCGCCAGTCACTCACATTATTGCCTGACCAGCTAACAAAAGCTTAGTAATCAACTAAATTATGTGCTACATGTGTATCTTGCAAAGTGGAATGGTCATTTTGATAAAATCTAAACTTCTAGTGTTTTTATTTAGAAGTTTTTTCAGAAAAAAAAGAAAAGTGAATATTTTTAGGAATTTCATTATCATATAGTCTGAATATTTTAGTCATAGCCCTTGAACATTTCTAAACTAAGTATATTTGCCATTGGCAGAGAAGGTGCATAGGAATAAGGTCTTTACAAGGTTGACTTCAGTGTCAATTGATCATTCTCTGAGGAAATCTGCACTTACTATTTTAATTGACATTTCGTAGGACAAATATCATGTTTTGAGGTTGAATTGTCAGTTTGACATTTATGTTGAAGTCAATTTTTGATGGAAGGAACTTGGAACTTCATTCAGGAAAAGTAGTTCACTTACTTTTATTTTTAAACACATATAATTAAGCGTTTGAGTTTTATTTCATGCTTTGTGGTGATTTTCCTCTTGACATATTCTGATCATTTTACGTTTTTTAACAAAATTTAGATAACAACAGTTAATTTTGGAAATTAATGATATATGGAGCTAAACAAAAGTTATGAGAAATATACAACTAGTTTTAAAATAATTTGACTTACAAGGTGGGTAATTAATTATTTTTGAAAAAAAAGACATGTAAGTGGCAAACTGAGAAACAAATTGAATTTGCTCTACCTATAAAATAGTCATGTGTCAGAGTTCAGAAAGTGAAATAGCTTGATCATGCAAGTAATAAGGGAGATGGACATTAAAACCTCAATCAATTTTACATAAGATCATTAAAAAATTAGTTTACTTCCTGTACTAGATAGCAAGACTGTGTAGGTTTTAGAGATGATTCATACTGTACACATGGTCATTTTAAGGTGATAGGCATGAAGTGTGACAGTTGTTAAAGGGTTGTATTCTTATCTGAAGTGAACATACATTTCAGTGGTATTGATCAGAAGGTTGATGGTGTGCTTTATAATGCAGCCTGCCATTTGTCTGTGGTGAAGTATAGCTGTAAGTACCCGTGTGCATCAATAAATGTTTCCGAGTAAATGCACATTCCTCTACACAGTCATTTTTATGCATGTATGTCTCCACCCTGTGCCTTTTTTATTACTATAAGAATATCCAATGTACAAATCCAGTATCTTACAACTAAACATCATATAGCATTAGCTTTTCCTGTGAAGATGGCTTTTCCAAACAAGCCTTACTGCTAGCTCTGTACATGTAGTGCTATCAAAGTACATGCGTGTGTAGATTATATTATACAAAAATCAAACATGTTTCTGGAAATTTTTCCTACCACAATTGTAGCTATGAGGCTCATATTTGGTACTTGAATATCCTTTTTCTCTTCATACACCATATGTGGTGAATATGAAATCTTATTTGGTTTTAGGATGTAATTTGGATAGAGGCATTTTTTACTCCATTCTTTTTTATACCATGTGGTGTACATGTAACAATATACTGGACATACCTGTGTGAGAAAATACCTGTATATATCTGCTAATTTAACTTATTTAGCAAAAGAAATACTCAAGCTGCAATTCTCATGGAAGGATGAAGTAATAGTTTCAGTATCTTAATTTTATATTAAGAAAATAAACATTAGAAATAAGAATTAAGCCTTTTACTTACAGTGAGCTCTCCAAGATGATTCACTGAGCATGGGAGCATGGCATCTTTGTTTTCTATCACCGTCACATTGACCTGTGGTGTGTCAAAACTTGGTAAGAGATTAGGTCTTCCATACACTGTAAAGAGAATAAGATATATGTATATCTTTACGCAAACTATTGTATTAAAATCCATCTTCCAGCTCTACTACTAAGCTCCTGGTGTGACTGGGTATTGTTTTCTTCTTCAGGTGACTTGTTTTGATTTCTTTCTTTTGCATGAGGCATATATTGTGGCAGCAATGGTCATTATTCATAAATGAAAAGGAAATCCGTTGTGACATGGAAGCCCCTTGTCAGCAAGGTAGTGGCATGCATGGTGCTTAAAAATAATCTTTCTTTTAAGAACTTGACATTTTAGATAATAACAAAAAATGAACAATATGCATATATTTTTTGTTGCTCTCTTTGATCTTAGCTGTTCCTGTTAATTTAATCAGTTGAAAACAGACATCATGGGGTAAGGGTTTTTGTCCTGTGCATGTTTGTTTATGTTACATGAGATGGTTCATTTAAGTTCCCTTTGTCCCAGTATTGTGTATTGTTTATTTCCTCAAACAATGATAGGGTCCCAGCATAGCAGAGAGGTCTTTCATTCTTACTGAATTGAAAAGATGTATGAATGTTGCATTTTCTTATGTTTTTATACGTACATGTTTTTTGTTCAATTTCCATATCTTGCAGTACAATCTGCAGCTAAGACATGAACTACGATGTGATAACTGCAATAATGCAGGAAGTGAGTCATTTCAATCAATTTTGTACTTTATTTTTGCTGACGAGAAGTGGTTAACTTTATTTGGTTGGTTTCATACAGAATGATTGATATGAGATATGAAGTTGCATGCAATCAGATAAAAAGAATTTGTTACACTCAAGTAGTAGCTGCCAAAAATCAGAAAGTGAAAAATCTCCAAAAGTACTAAAGCAACCACGAAATATTTTGATTTTCTCCTACATTAATTGTTCACCCTAAACATAAACTAGTCCACCTTAATTGGTGTTTAATGTTCTATTAATTGTCCATTGTAATATTTCTTGATCATTAGGCTACAAGTTCAAACTGAAAGAAAACAGTTTGATCTCATCTAAAGACAAAAAGGATAATGTTGATGATGCCTATGATTGCATTAAATAATCTCCATGCTGTAAATAGGACATGTTAAGGTTGTCTAGACGGTATACCTTCTCTAATTAAGATTGTTCCGAAATTAAGAAAAGAAATCAATATGCAATGTTCTTCAGACACAAATATATTATGTTACCTGGTGATGATGCAGTGTTCTCAGATTACATGGAACGTGCCCAAATTATTACTAATATCTCTGTAAAGTATATACAGTCTGGAGTTGAACTGAGAGGACATTTGCCACTGCATAACAGAAAGTGATGGATGAGAACATAGTGTGTTCTTTAAGAGCATATGCCACCAATTTGGAAAGGCTTTATCTTGATTTCCGGTTCTCATTTTTATTTTAATCAGTCATTTATTGTAAAAATACAGGCAAATCAACTAAAAAAAGAGATTCTTGCATGGTGAATTTATTGATCTATGCTTAGCCTCAATGTTTAGACAAAAAATTGATTAAGGTTGGATTGCTACTGGAAAAACCATTTAAACAAAAAATAAGCCATGTGCATTTTTGTACTTAAAAAACAAGCTCCATTTTATTGAGGGGAAAACCCTTAACTTGCAGGCATCTGAGATACTTAATATGTATTTCTTTCAAAGTTTAGATTGTAGATGTATCTGCTATACCACTCTTTTATGAAATACGAAATCCCATATCTATCAATCTGTGCTTGGGTGATATTTATGGTGAAATACACATCCTTGACCTTTTGGGTAAAAGATAAAGAAGAATTAATTATTGGCAAATAAAAATCTAAATTGTGTGTAGTATTATAAAATGGTGGCTCTGCTCACTGATTGGGTCATACTATAGATATCTGTTTATCTGGAAATTGGTATTCTGATGTCTTCACTAAATCCAATAAAAATTGAATGAAATATTAGAGGACATTTTTTTCCAGTTGTGTATATACATGTTTAAAGCAAATACTTGTTTGCATTTGTGATTATCAATTCTTATGGTACAAGTTTGATAGCCAATAAAATGTTCTAGAGAATTTGGATCAAAATCAGTTGACTTGTCAGTTTTTTTCCCAGTAATGTACACCTGACTTTTGTCCAACATCAAGTGGTTTTTTTTCTCAGTGAAAAATGATTTTTCATTGATTTTGGCTAGGATCACCTTTTAAAAGCCATGAGACGCCATTGGAGGAGGATTAATGGCCCATTAATTCTTAAGTAAACATAATTAATGACATCATTATTGTTTGATTACAAACATTGGTGAATTTTGAAATGGTTTGCATGTCAGATAGGGAGAGATGAAGGAGGAAATCATAGTTAAAATATGCAATAAAGCGTTTTTATTGTCTTGGAAGCTCCCACCCCTTAATTATATCAAGGTGATCACATGCTTTCTGATTAGAAATTGTAGAGCAGAAGATTTATTTCAGCTCTATGTTTGTACTACATGTAAGTGTGGGAGCTTGACAAATGGTAATTGCATAGATCTAAGTATCTGTCCCTCTTCCGGAAATTAGCAGTACAGTAGGATAGTGTTGAAATGAATTGTAATGGTGATGACTACAGGGTACATGTATTGCTTTTGCCTCACTGGTCAGTGGTATATCCATATATAGTAATATATTAAAACTGGTAGTAGTGTTTACGTACATATATCAAAATTCAGTGTACAGACTGCAATGTATGGCATGCTTTAAATTAGTATTTGGTATGACACTTCACATTAGATCCAGGTTCTGTTACACATATACTAAATAAGTACCATGCTGTAAGCACACATACATTGTATATTTGTTTGGTGGGTGGAGGGAGGGCGCAAGACAAGTATATAAAAAGAGAGGATGAATGTCACACAAACAAGAGTAATTATGAATGAAGCAAAATTGCAGTATGCAACCATGTTGCTATAAAAGATACTAGTATGTGGTACCATTCTCAGAACATTATTTTTATGGATCATGTTTAAAATGTTAGGTCTTGGTGATATGAACTAATTTTGGACATAATAAACAGGACATTTTAGTCACGTTCTATAAGTAAACTTTAATAAAATAGAAAACTGATGTCATTTGCTCAGATGCTATTTGCTATGTATGCTGTTGGGCAGTAGTGGTATTAAAATCATCCACTCATCTTTAAACAATTTGTGATGCAGTCATCAATAAACCCCATGCAACAGATGCCTTTCTGACCGTCAAGAAAAATCGATAACTCCTTTGCCACCCTAAATGAATTAGAACATATGATTCTTACTGATATCTGTATTTGTATATGTCCAGAGAATACTGAAAATCCTGACTACTTTTTGACCACTGCAGGGTTTGCTAATAGTATGTTACAAAACTATTATATCGGACCCTGTGTGAACTTAGATGGTCATAAGGAATGTGCTCCTTGCTCTTCACCAGACACACCCCTTGGTATTAAGAGGAACACACCCCAGTCTGTTATTTTATGTAAGTCAAGCATGGCCTCAGATGTAGAACCCTTTCCCATACCTAGATCGATCTAGCAGGATTGACCCATCTCTGAGGGGATTCTCAGTGAATTGCATTCAGCTTAAGCGGCTTAGATTTCTGACATGCTTACTGAAGCTGGTAAATGATAGTTAATTACCCCCTAACAGCTGAGTGATTACACCCAACTGCACAATATGAACTTCCTCTGCTACTGAACCACCATTTAAGGGGTGGGGTAGTTACATTAGAGTAGATGTCTGAATTGGGTGAGATCTCATAGAGCTTTAATTTAATTTTTATTTAATTTAATTTAATTTTACACACTGTTTTAGTGACCCCTATGATATAAGAGGGTAATTTATGACCAGTGCCCATGTGTGTGTGTGTGTGTGTGTGTGTGTGTGTGTGTGCGTTTGAGTGCTTTTTCTTTGGAGATTATTGTACCACCAGCGTTAGCGCTGGCGGTACACATGGTTTCGGTCTCGTCCGGATCGTTCCGCCGGCTCCGCTGGACGGCTACCGTTACCGCTTCTCCTCCTAGACGGTAAGGGCCCCTGTACCCATCTCTTGGATTTAGGTCACCTATAATCTCAGCTCGTTCCACGTAAAATTTGGGCTTTGCCGGTATTGGGGTCTGGGTGTGGCACTCATTTCAATGCACCCTTGTCCAAAATTGGCAAAATTAAATGCTAATTATCTACCCTACGGAAGGGGTTATGGGAAAAATTTCTACAGACGGCTTTCCAAAAGTCATATGTGTAGATTTCAAATATGCCCTTGGATTTGACCTTTGACCTTTACTTCAAGGTCAAACGGGCCAAAATTTTCAAAAAAATAATATTTTTTATGAAAAAAATTTTTTTTGCCCTGTTATTCAGACACCACACAGACTTAACCAATAATATTATTGGAAAGTGTTACCCTTCAGGTCATCTTTCATCTCCATGAATTTGGGGTCAATCGGTGCATTTTCACTGGAGTAACGGCCATAAGATGCCGAAACTGAAAACTGTCTCTAATTCAGGAACCGTTAATGCTAGAGACCCATTCTTTTTTGCATTTTGTAGAGCATGTAAAGCCCAACACTGAAGGTGGTCTCCGTTTTTTTGTATTCCAAACGGTTTTCGAGTTACACTATCAAAAAGTACATATTGGTGGTGAAAGCAAAATGTGCAGTACGGTATAGTCAGGTTTCTCAGTCCAAATTTTTTCCAGAATTGTGCAATAGATGATAAAAGCATGAAACTTTCCCCGATGAATAACCATTGGGTGTTAATCAATTTTGGATCAGGGGGTTGACAAACACCCAATGGTCATTCATCGTGGAAAATTTCATGCTGTTATCATCNCGGCATTGTGTATTGTTTATTTCCTCAAACAATGATAGGGTCCCAGCATAGCAGAGAGGTCTTTCATTCTTACTGAATTGAAAAGATGTATGAATGTTGCATTTTCTTATGTTTTTATACGTACATGTTTTTTGTTCAATTTCCATATCTTGCAGTACAATCTGCAGCTAAGAC